GAGCCGAAGGCAGAAGCTTTATGACTGAGCCACCCAGGCGCCCCAACTTTCATGATTTAAAATGAAATAAAATTTAAAAATCAGTTCCTCAGTCACACTAGCCATATTTCAAGTGGTCAAGAGCTACACGGGTCTAGAGGCTTCCATATAGAGGGAACAGATACAGAATACTCATATCATAGCAGAAAGTTCTATTGGGCAACACTCAGCTGGAGCTCTTTGTTTTTCCAAACCTTTGAACACATACACCCTCTTCCCCCTTCTCACTGAGTGTAATTTTCTAAGATAAGTATTGAGAATATATCAACTCCATGATTTTATTCACTTAATGCCTATTAGAGATAAGAAATATGTGTCAGTTTTTTAAAAAGAGGGAAAGTAAGATCGCCAGACCCATGCTCCTCGAAGTTTAAGGAGCACTTAACTCACCCAGGGATCTCATTGTGCTGTGGATTCTGATTCCCCATGTCTGACGTGGAGCCTAAGAGTCCACCGCTGGTCCCCAGACCACTCCTTGCATATGACGGTTATGGCGTGTGGCTTGTGACCTAGGACCCTGTTGCTACTTAAAGCATCAGGCGAATAAATACACAAGTGAACTGCAAATGGAAAGACAGAGCTGAAGGAACTAGTCTCATCTTCCCACAGCGGAAGAATAAGACCAACCCCTGCTTTGGTCTGAGGCGGGTCACATGGGTGTGGGACAGCACAGCCAGGCTAAGGGCTGCACTCTGGAGCCACATTTGTCTGGACTCGTCTTGACTCCATCACTTCCTAGTGTGTCTCTGGGCAAATGATCACTAGGCCTCAGTTTCCCTATGTGTAAAATGGGGCCAATACTAGTACATTTTTTTTACAGAACAGTTGTGAAGACCCAGTGAGTCAGCAGAGTTAAGATGCTCAGAACAATGGCCAGAGCATCGGATACGCTGACTAGGTGGTTGTTCAATGGACACAACATTCTGCCTCTAAGCAAGTGATAGGGTTCATCCTGGATGAGCTGATGCATTTCTGACCACTCGTATGTCACTTGGATCTAAATAAGACGAGAAGTGGTAGAGTTGAGGGTTGGGCTATTAACGGACAGGCAGGGTCCAGGGAAGCCAAATAAATGGTGTCGTTGCATTTCCTGTAGACGGCAGCCATTTGGCAGGTCTCCTGGTGACCTTCACCTAAACGTGGCCCCTTTGAAATGCCTTCTCTAAAGAGACGTTTTACTGTTGGCTGAGGTTGTGCCAAGTCTGCATGTGGAGTTTGTGCAGGTTTTACCAAATCTATCACTTAAATTTGAGACATTGCCCTTCGGCGTGTGGCAGCAAAATAGATTTGAGTTGTTGGAGGGAATAGGACACCGGTTTTTGCCTAGCACTGATCATTTTCTTAAACCTTTTTCTCCCCCAAAAGCAAAGAACCCAGCCAGCAGCGAGTCAAGAGATGGGGCTTCTCTTTCGACGAGGTATTGAAGGACCAGGTGGGGCGGGACCAGTTCCGGAGATTCCTGGAGTCCGAGTTCAGCTCAGAAAACCTCAGGTAACTCTCTCAAAGATTGCAGCCATGTGCAGAGGGTGTATGAGGAGATGTGCATATTCAACCTCCCATTCCACCCTCCCCCCCTTTCTCAATAAAAACGTGATGGTGCAGATTCATATCCCCACTAATCTGGCTAAGGCAGAAGTGGAGAAGGACAAACTTGATGTGCAGCTCAGGCATCCCCATGAGGGCACTTCCCCAGATCAGCATTTTCTGTTCTGTAGGTCCAGATGACATTTGTTCAAGTTGTTGGAAACACGTCTCCCATGATAAGTAAATGATCAAATGGGTCTGATGACACCTTGCATTAACTGAAACCAGGAACCATGGAGCTGCAGAGTGGAAAGGCAGCTCAGAGACTGTCTCCTTCAAAACTTCTCAGTCGGGGGTCCCAAATACTTGACAAGCTAACCAGAGAAAAAGAGGGATCCCTGAGCTCATTTTAGAATTTCAAAAAGCCAAAGGATATACATTTCAATACCTGGAGACATATCTGTAAAAACTAATTAAAACACGCTTTTCCTTTTGGGGGGCTTCTATCAACCCTGTGTTGCTGTGGTCACCTGCTGCCAATGAGAACACATGGCCGTCGCTGTTGGTCTCCAGCTAATCAAGATGAGGGGAAATGTAGTGATGTATTAATAATTACTGTTCAATAGGAGGAAAAAGCAAAACTTTCAAAACATGAGGTCCATTGAGAGAGGGGGGAAAGGGAGAGCATTCAGTGGGAGAGGGTCCGATGTCATGAAAAGTTGGGAAACTTGTGGTTTATTCAGCGTTCTGTTGTATTAGAATGGACACAGAGACCTAATGGGTCTGAGCCCCCTGAATGATCTGAGCAAACCGGTGACTTCTCAGATGTAAAGCTCAGGATTTTTTCTTGGCACCAGGTTCTTTTTTTGTGTGCTGGGTTAATTCCCATCTTCCAGTGGTATTTTTTTCAGAAAGGGTGGTTTTATTCATTTTCTAAATGTTTTTTAACTTTAAAAAGTCAGGGCATAGACTGTGGGCAAAGGACTGTCCACTCCAGTGTTAATGTGCAAAGACCATGTAATTTATTTGACGGTAGAGACCATATCAGTCCCATACATCAATCAAGCACTATTTATCACACACCTAGGCTGCATCAAGCCCTGCAAGAGTCTGCTGAGGGAGGCAAACAAGTCAAGATGCATGATCTTTGCCTACCATGATCTTGTAGGTCCTTGAGGAAAAAAACACAAGAAACTATTAAATCGTTACATGAATATAAATGAGTATAAACTCTAAGAACTGTTTTGGAAATGTTTTTTTTTTCTCCTTTTTTTTTTTAAAGATTTTATTTATTTTTTTGACAGAGAGAGACACAGCGAGAGAGGGAACACAAGCAGGGGGAGTGGGAGAGAGAGAAGCAGGCTTCCCACCGAACAGGGAGCCCGATGCCGGGCTCGATCCCAGGACCCTGGGATCATGACCTGAGCCGAAGGCAGACGCTTAACCGACTGAGCCACCCAGGCGCCCCTGGAAATGTTTTTAAAAGGGAGGGTTGAATGTAAGCCAGAGCAGGCAAATCATAAGCTGGTCTTTGAAGAATACACAGGATACAGATAGACAAACGAGAAGGAGGGAGAGTATTCTAAGCGAGAAGACCCTATGAGCGAAGGTGTGGCAGTGGGGCTCTCCCACATCACACAGCCTCAGGGGGACGTGTAGATGCCAGTTAACGATATGTATCGATGCCTTTCCAGGCAACCAGGAGCTTACTGTACAACAGATAAGGCTGCATATCTGATGCCAGGTCAGGACACAAGAGTTCTTTCCTGAGGCGGAGCCGTTGTTCTGAACACACCTCCCAGCTTTGCTTTGATTCCGAGTCAAGCATCTGTAACAGAAGGCTAGCGGTTCAGACCAGCCTCCGGGGCTGTGCGTGGACGAGGCGGGTCCTGACCAGGAAGCCACGCCCTCTGTGAGCCACGCCCTCTGTGGCCGGCAGGATGCACTCAGGCAGCCCCTCTGCGCGCAGGCTCACCCCAGGACCCACATGGAGCTCGGCCCGTGAGCCGCCCGTGGGAGTCTTTCCCATTTCTCCTTCTCATTCTGTCCCCTGCGGGCCCCCCCAAAATAAAGTGACATAGAGGCCTCCTTTACCTGACTATTTCTCAGCCCATGCGTGGCCTTATGACCCTCTGCCACCTGCACCATTACAGTGACTTTGAAAAACCACCACGGGGCCCCGGTCATTTTGAGGGTCATTTTGAGCGGGAGCATCGCTGGCTCAGCACCTCCGTGCCCAGTCTGGGCGCAGCCGGAGCCACACATCGGTTCAGACTAGCGTAACGAACACACATTACCCTTAAGGCCAGGGGGGCAGCGAGGAGTATGTCCTTGGCGGGGCTTCAGCACCTCATCCTGCCATTACCTCCTGTGCCTCGGCCAGCTCCTTCATCCTGTGGCGGGGGGCTGCACTTGGGTGAAAGGGTGGGGGAACACCTGTGAGTGGGCCAGTGACTCATCTACACCCCCAGCAGGAATGCATAAATCCACACTTGAAGAGGGACCCCCTCTGATCCATGACAGGAGAGAGGATAAAGAAACTAGAACAGCCGGAGATAAAAAGTACAGCCCAAGAGCTTATAAAATCCTCTCTGGAGGCCCAAGTTCCACTTTTACGATATTCAGCATAATTGGACATGTAGGGGGAAAGTTTGGTTTGACATCACACAACTCCTTAGGACTCGTCAGGCATCCATAACCATGTGGTTCCTCCCCTCCCCTTTGCATTCACTCCTCCAGCCACAGAGAGTGGCTTAGCAGCCCCCATGACCCAGGGCCCAAGGACTCAGCTGAGCAGGGCAGCCGTGGGCGCCCTGCCGATGCGCCTCCACCACGTCCCGTGAATGGCGCCCGCTGGAGCTGTAGAAGCAGCATAACCCAGGGATCCTGCCCGTCTGTTGCCTTGGCCGCGCTAGGGATCATCTCTTCTCCCCAGGACAGACCAACAGCCCCGGCAACTGGCATCAGGGGATGGGAGAAAAAAGAGACCAACCAGAACTCAACTGGATCCATTGCAAAGGGCATCTCCATTTCATCTTCCCATACGCCCTCGCATCTCTCTAGCAAAAGGGGTACTTAGATTGTAACCTTTTAGCACAGCCCAGTTAAGTAGCCAAGTGGTTGAACCTGTACCTAGAGCTTCAGAGAGCAGCACAGAGGAGCCCCCAAGACACACAGAAATCACTCTCACAACAGCAAAGCGTCACCCTGGATCCTTTAAGGAAAGACGTCTATGATAATACAATGTAAGTGCAAGTCCCCTTTCATGGTGAGGTCATGGAGGGAGGGGCGTCAGCTTCAGGGCCCGGAGAGGGCATGGCCAGCGCATGTTGCTGCAGCCGGCACAGCGTGAGAACCTGCGCTCTCTGTGGCACCCTGAGCTGGGGCACCCCGTTCACACGCACGGGGCCCCTGAGACAGCTGTTTGCTGGGGGCCTGCACAAGGCACGCGGGCTGTCATCCATAAGGCTAGAAGCAGGGGCATCAAGTGCATTATCTGACTTCGTCCTCCCTTCTCTGTGGTTTTCCCAGAATGGTGACAGGAGTCCCTCGTCCACATTTGCCCCCTCCCCATCGCCCCTATGCCCACCTTGGTCCCTCCCCGCACAATGGTCTCTGCTGCCCGGCAGGGCATGAGTTAAAACTCAAAACCCACAGCAAAGAGCGTTGTCCGTACATTTTTTATGAGCTGTAACGTCTCCTGAGAGAACGTGGTTGTTCTTCTAACCTGCAGATTGATTATCCCAGTTCCACACAGTGTCAGCTGAAGGGAGAAGCAATTAAAGAGCGCACGGGGGAGTTGCCAGGTTTGCCTGGAGAGCTCCCGGCTCCGAGAGTTGCCCCCGGTCCTGGGAGGACCTGGGAAGGTTCACGAGGCCCGGGGGGACTCCCCACTAACCAAACACATGATTAATCGGAACAGAGGTGGCTCGCGCGTCGCCGTGACAATCTGTGGCACTTCAGCCACTGCCCCCGGAAGGAGCGTACCTCAGCGGCCGCCGTGGGGCTGGTGCTTGTGGCCGCCGTGGGCCCCGGACGATTTCCACCCCACCAGGGACCCGGTCAAGTTGCCTCTGTCCTTCCTGAGTCTCTGCTGACCAGCAGAGGGCACAGAAAGCCTTCCTTCAGCATCGAGTTTGCTTTTTCTCTGGGAATGAACTAAAAGCTAGATTTTTCTCAGCCATGAAAATCTTAGTTTATGAAAAAAGTAGGGAAACTAAGAACTGCGGGGCTGCCCAGAACCCCTGGCAAGGGGGAGAGGGCCCAGGGCTGCGCAGTGTTCCTGCGTCCAGCCTGCCTCGAGGAGAAAATCCCACTCCTCGTCCGCACCGCGGTCCTGGGGACAAACGAGGCCATCGGGACTACCCCCTCCCCTCCGGGGTCCCCCCAACACGGCTGCTGCTGGGCCCTGGGGCGTCAGAGGCCCCCCCGCTGCTTCCCCGCCCAGGCCAGTGCCGGCCTGCGTTCCTGAGCCATCCCCACGCATCACATGCTGGCGCACGGGCTGCCTCCCCACGCTCTGAGGACTCCAGCGAAGCAGCACAGATGGTCTCCCTGATACCGGCAAGTCCTTGTGGCCTGCCAGTCACGACAGCCCTTCTGCTGCAAGCCACGGAGGCTTAGTGCAGAATGGGCGGATTTGCAGCAGGCATCTCCCCTCGCCCTCCCCGCTGGCGTCCTCCAGGAGGAGCCCGTACCTGCAGGGCTTTCCATAAGGCAGAAGCTGCCCCAGCCTCCCTGGGCCAGCACCCACCCTGGGTGTGTGGCAGGGAGGTGCGCGGGCCCCCAGCGAGGGGAGTGTGGCCGGGACACCCGGGCTGGGGGTGGGGGTGGGGGTTGGGGGGGGCCTCGGAACTCAGCGCTCCCGCCTCAGGCCTGTGGGCTCACAGATGGCAAACGCGAACCAGAGCCTGTTCTGAATTTCAAATTGACACAAAGGTTCTTCGAAGCCGGTGATGGTAAACACATATGGGATGTCAGGATGCTGTTGTGACAGCATTTTTGCTGTTACCTGAGAAGGATAAGGCAGGTCACCTCCGAGGCAGACAGAAGGCTGAGAGGGTCCCTGCGAGGGCAGGGAGGAAAGACGGCTGTCTAAGGAATGTCATCTCCTCCTCTGCTTCTAACCGGCCTGTGGTTTCTCCTCGTCCTTTTATTTTTAAAAAGTCTTGGTTTGTGGCAAAGGGAACCTTTTTAATTTTTATGTAAAAGTTTGTTACATTTGATTCTGAAATCTCCCTTTACATCCACTTTAGACCTTCTCTATACCCAGCTGAGTGATGTGCATGACTGTGGCTCCCAAATCATTCTCCCAAAGGGACTCTGAGGCCTCGGGAACCTAGGAGCCTGCCCAGCTCCGAAGCTGCTGGGAGCTTCCAGGGCCCTCCCGGAGCTTGAGAGCTCCTTCTCAGAGCGGCCTGGAACACGGGACAGAAGGTGACCCCCCACATGACACTGATTGAGGGAGCAGGAAATTGCCCGGGAACCATCCATGTGTGTGAGAAACTGCAGGGCCCAGTAGGCTTGGGAAGGATGCTGGCCCAGAGAAGCTGCTTCCAGCCGGGGACTCGGCCCAGAGGCGACTCCCTGAGGGAGGGCCCTTCTCCCATCAGCCCCAGCACATGGCTGCCAAAGACTCACCAACTCAGTCTTTGGTGAGTTGCCCGCTAGCACTCTTTCCGGTCCTTTGAAAAACCCACACCGGCTTCCTTCTTTAGAGCTGGGTTTCCTAAATCCCACCTGCCCATCAAACACTGCTGTCCTGACAAAGAAAGCCTATAGGCGCTGTCATCGCCAGATGACCATTTTCATCTTTGTGTCCCAGCCACCTCCTTCATTCCATGGCAGACCTCGAGGGCGGGACGGAGAGACCTAAGGACCCAGAGGCATGGGGTTGGGAGGTGGAAGAGCCCCACTGCCCAGCTAAGGCTCCGAGTACCTCCTGCCTTTGCACTTTGCTCAAAGAACCCTTGCTGTTCTCTCCCCGGTAGCCAGAGGACGTGAGCACCAGACCTGCGGAAGCAAGAAAGCAGGCTGGTGTTGAGGGGCAGGTGACGACAGATGGCAGGAGCAAGAGCCCTTGGCAGCTTCTGCCCAGCCCCCCGGGAGAAAGCCCCATACTAATCTTGTGGCTGCCCCCTTGACCCCTCCAGCTCTCCCACCCACGGGACCTGAAAGCATTTCTGTTACACCTGGATGGGAAGTTCTTCAGACCCATGTCACATACCCTGCCACCCACTTTGTACCCATTTTACAGATGAAGAAAGAGATGCCCAGAAAGGCATAATTCCAAGAAGTGGCATAGGCAAGATGAGGACAGAACTGTGTTTCCTGGTCTTCTGGTCAAGTGAGGTCATGAAATCTCCTTCCCGGCCTCTCGCTCTTCAGGACCAACAAGGGAACCATGAGGATTTCCTTTAAAGAGAGTATTTGAATCCCAAATGGCAAAGCAGGGGAAGAGTTAGGAGTCCAGAAGCCCCTGTACGCAAACATCTCTCCTTGTAGAAATGGAGCTGTATTACCGCAATTGGCCACTGAGTGGCGCCTTTGGGCCATGCACTTGGCTCCAAAGACAATTCTAAGAACAGCAACAGAAAAACATGCTTAACCTTTAAAAAAAGGGGCGGGGGGGAACAAGTACATCTTACTTTGGGCGCAATTCGATGACAGATTGAATGCACTTTCCACCGTGTCGTGGTCCAGCTTCTCTTGTCCCTGCCCTTTCATTGACTTGAGTATGTGTGAATACTAAGGCTATGGGAACTACATAGCCTGGGGCCTGTCCTCATGTCTCATTGATGGGGACATGGGCCTATCTTGTTCACAAGGCACAAAGTGTGCTACTCAGATCTGGGCCCTGCTGCAAGCCCTCCCCGGGGCAGCCTCGGAAACCATCCTCACGACCAGGGAGCTGTTGTCCAAGCTTAGCCCCATGTGCTTCGGCTATCAGCAGAAAAGAGCTCACACCCAGCTCTTCCAACAGCCGCTGCCATGCTGATGCTGAGGAATTCATGAAAGGCACATATGGAAGTGAGCAAGAGGTTTTTCTCTCCAGTGCTCCCTGGAGAATCTTTTGGCATAGATGTTCCCCATGTATGCCTCTTCAGCTTTGTTCCTCATGAGCCCATCTTCAAGCCAACAGCCATTTATTGAGCACCTACTATATGCTAAGTATCATGCTGGACACCGACCTTGCAAATTGGCTGCCTTTCCATCTGCAACATGAATAGCTGGGTCCTCCCAGCTCAGATATTCTCTATGATCCCAAGATTCTATCTGCCTCTGTGATTTCCTTAATTTTGATGCTGCAAACTGATCCCAACCAGATATGACAAAGGAATTCACATTGTCCACGTCAGGGCAGGTTGAGAACTGGCTCTCAACCAGGGGGGATTTCACCTCCTAGGGGACATTTGGTAATATCTGGAAACATTTTTGGTTGTCACAACTTGGGGAGGGGTTGCCACTGGCATCTGGTGGGTAGAGGCCAAGGTTGCTGCTCAACATCCTACAATGCACAGGGCAACCCTCACAACAGAGAATTATTGAGCCCAAAATGGAAATAGTGCTAAGGTTGCGAAACCTTGTTGTAAAGGGAAAGAAATCTCTGGTTGGTAACCAGAGCACAATGATTTTTCTAATGGGCACTTCCTTTCAGTTCGCCACCATGATGGAGCACCCTATGGATTTCCAGCAGTCCCTACCATCTTTGTTACTTAGGTAGGGGCAGCAGGGAAGGCTGGGGGATGCAGCAGAATGAGTTTTGTGGGATTTCAGTTCTGGGGCCACATCCAGCAGAGTCCAGAGGCTGAGCCCCCTGGAACTGACTTTCTTTATGCTTCTACATCAGGTTCTGGTTGGCTGTCCAAGACCTCAAGAAACAACCCCTCCAGGATGTGGCCAAGAGGGTAGAAGAAATCTGGCAAGAGTTTCTGGCTCCAGGGGCCCCAAGTGCAATCAACCTGGACTCTCACAGCTACGAGATAACCAGTCAAAACGTCAAAGATGGAGGGAGATACACATTCGAAGATGCCCAGGTTTGCTTATCTACTCGAGTGGTTCTTATCTACTCAAAAGATGTTCATTTGTCCACTCCACCACTCCACCCTTTCACATAGGTCCAAGGCATTGTGTGTAGCTAGAATTTCAGGTTTTATTATTTGTAAATCCATCAGGAGAAACCATTCCAGGTAGGAGCATAGTGAAATTCTTCCTAGGCCCGGCTTCCTAGATCAGTTACATTGTTACAGAGAGATAAACATTTAGTTATATGTGTTATCTTTTCCAGGAGAATCTCAGAATGTTCTTACAAAACCTGAGGTCCTGTAATAAGTCAGTAGTAGGGTCCGGAAACCATAACACCACATCGGCAAAGTGGGTATAGTGAGCAGGCAGGGCTGTGAGTCACATCTCACTGTGAAGCCCACGCTCGTAACCACCACCCTACACTGCTTCCGTAGTGATCTCCAACTCTGCAGTTACTGTTTGGGGAGCACCTCTATATCCCAGGCCCTGTGCTATGTGATGAGATACCACCAAGAAAGACAGAGCCCCTGCCCTCAAGGAGGTTACGGGCTAGCTGGGGAGAAAGGCAAGAAAATGGGAGAACTGGGGTGAGCTCCCAGATTTAAGGTTTAAGGAAGCCCATGGGAGGGACTCCTAAGCCTGGATGGCACAATTGGGCACAGATGCTTGGGAGGTTGGCAACAGAAACCGAAGCCATGTAAGCCACTCTAAACAGCACGCTTTACCTTGAAGGCTGGGAGGTACCATTTCTAAAGGTAAGCATCCAGTCAGCTGTCCACTTCCTGGCCCCAACCGTGATTCCCTCTCACCCATCCTATGCCTGGTGATGGGGCTTAAGGGTTTGCTCTTGTCTCCTCAACCCTCTTCATTTCTCTTACCTGTGGGGTCCCCAGATAGAGAATTTGCATAGATTGCTTCCCTACAGACATTATTATCCAATTTAGGAAATTCAGTGGCACTGCTGTGAATAATAGCATGGGAACAGAACCAGTGTCCCTTGTCATCCAGATTTGCCTGGTTATTTGCTCAGAACTTCAGAATGGAAACACCTCCCAAGCTCAACACCATAACTGTTTTTCCCTTCCTCTGGCCATGAGCACCACTGGATGCTGGTGTCAGGCAGATTTGGTTCTATAGAGTTCAGTGTTATTGCTTTATGAAAGCTCAACATCCTCACACCCTTTGCAGCTTCAAAGCAAAATGTTTAAGTCAAGAGAAATCTTTTTTTGTATGGGTCTATGTATATGCTCCCAAGTACATATTGATGTATCCTGGTGAGGAAAGTGATGGAGAAGTTCCATGCGTGATGGAGAAGTTTCTTGGGTGATGGATAAGCTCCTTGGGTGATGGAGAAGCTTCTTGGGTGATGGATAAGCTCCTTGGGTGATGGAGAATCTCCTTGGGTGATAGAGAGGACCCTCAGATGAATGATCTGAAACACACAGGTCAACTCTCCATTATTCATAAAATACAAGACCAGGGATACTGGTCAGAACCATGATGCACTCCATCTACTATTATCACTCTGAGCCTGATGTTAGGAAGGAGGTTGTTAGGATGTTAGGAAGTTATTTTAATCTTTTATTATGGAAATATGTAAACATGTGGCAAAGTGGAAAGAGCAGAACAACAAACCTTTACAGGCCCTCATCCAGCCTGAGCAATCATCAATACAGGACTGATCTCATTTCGTCTGTGTCCCCACCTACTTTTTCAGCTACCACTGGGTTATTTTAAAGCAAATCTGAGACATTACATCATTTCATCTGTGAATACCTAGTATGTAGCTTTACTAACACCACTATCACACCTTAAAAATTAGCAACATTCTCTTTAGATCATCAAATGTCATGCAAGTTCAAATTTATGGCAGTGGTATAAATGCCATTTTTTAATCTTTAATTTAAAATCAGAATCCAGGGGCACCTGTGTGGCTCAGTCAGTTAAGCATCTGCCTTTGGCTCAGGTCATGATTCCAGGGTCCTGGGATCAAGTCACAAATCAGGCTCCCTGCTCAGCAGGAAGCCTGCTGCTCCCCCTGCTTGTGCTCTTGCTCTCTCTCTCTCTCTCTCTCTCTCTGACAAATAAATAAAATCTTAAAAAAATAAATAAAATAAAATCAGAATCCAAATCAGGCCCACACATTATTGTATATTGACATGTCTTTCACATGCCTTTTAATCTATAGGTTTCTTTTATATCCCTTTACTCCCCTCCCTTCCCCCTTGCAATTTATTTCATGAAGACATTGTATTCTTTGTCCTGTAGAGATTCCCACAGCCTGGACTTTTTTTTTTTTTTTTTTTATTGCAGCCCTGTGGTGCTGTTTAACATGTTCTTCTACCCTCTGTATTTCCTACAAATTAGTAGTTTGATTTAGATATTTAATTGGATTTACATTTGATGATCTGTGGGCAAAAATGCTTCATAAATCATGTTGTGCTCTCTTGTCAGAAGGCACATAAGGTCTAGTTTTCTCTCTTTTTGTGATTTTAGCAATTATTGATGTTTATTGCTTAGATCCATTAGTTAATTACTTCATTTATTAGCTGAAATACAAATAATCAAATATATCTCCTATTAGATCGTCCAATAATACAATTTATATAGGAAAGATAGGATAAGTGTTTGCTTCTTTCCCTTTATTTCTTAGTTTTCAAAATAATGAGTGGTTTACTATCATCTTCTAATGGTGACCAATTAGGGTTTTCTATTTTGCTTTTAGTATCTTTGTAAACTCATCAGTTTAAACATATTTGATGTGTTTTAGTCCATTTCTTTATTATTTTTATTAAGGCTTGGATTGTGCCATCTCTGTCAGTGGCTCCTTTTTACATGATCCTGGTAGTCTTTGGTGTCATCCAAATAGCAAGGAAGCTAAGATGTTCCAGGCCTTGCCCCAGACCTGGAATCAGCCATTTCTCCAAGGACCCCTGGTTTCTCTTAGTGGGACATGGTTCTTAGAGACCATAATCTAGGCACTTGGAGGTGCTCATTGTTCCTGGGCTGGTCATCCTTTATAGACCTTTTCAGTGGACAGAGCTAGGAAATTAGTGGTTGTTGGTGGTGATTAAAAATACATCATAAGTTCAAACTGATACTTTCTATTCAAATTGAAAAGAACAGGGGATTTTATTTAACCTCTTCTTTTTATATTTGTGCCTCCTTTGTCTATGCTGAGAATCTTGGTTCTCAAGGATGCCAGAGGTGATGGCCTAGTACTTCACATCATTACTCATGCACTTTCTCCTGCCTTACCACAGAGCAGCCTCAGAGCTCCAGTGCCCACACGAGCAGCAACAAGATGATTATCGCCTGGTTCTTTAACTGCTGCATAGTATTCCATTGTACGGAAGCACCATAGTTTAGCCAACCAGTCCTCTCTTCTTGACATTTATGTTGTTTCTAATTTGAGAAAGATTGGATAGGAAATCTTAGGAAGTCAACAGGCTGTGCCTTGACAAGTTTCTGAATACACAGCCTTCATTAGTACAGTGCTCTGCCATTTTTCAGGTACTTCCACAAATAGGATACCTCATTGTTGAAGCAGAGTGGACTCTTAGAGAGGATACTCATAGCCTCTCTAAGTTCCTCATTATCTGTTAGGATTGGTCTCCTATGAATTCAAATAAAACACTCTTCCTAAACGAACTTGTTTCAACCTGTTCCCTTTTGTTTCTTAAGTGTGTTTCCACCATGAACACACAATATGCTTCTAACTAGCAGTGTGACCTTGGGCAAGTTACTTAAATTCCCTGCGTCTTCCTTTCCTCATCCGTACAACAGAGATACAGGGGTCCCTACGCATGGGGGCAGAAAGGGGACCAGGTGAAATGAAGCACATCAACAACTAAAATGGTCTGGCCCACAGTAAGATAGAATAAACACTATTTTATTTTCCTAATGTGATTAATATTTTTTATACCTTTATGTTTAACACGTTTGGTGAAAAAATTCAAATAATTGCATGTAATTTTAGCATCCAGAGATAATCCCCATTTTAGTGTATTTTTCTCCTCAATTTATGTGTACAGGGTGATTATGCAAATAGTGTTGATTCTGTAGCCTGCCTTTTACACTAAACCGGGTTCAATTAAAAAAAAAAAAACTAAACTTTTTCTGTAAAGGGCCAGATGGTATAAATTTTAGGCTTTCTGGGTCATATGGTCTGTCACCACTACTCAGTTCTGTGATACGAAAACAGCTACAGTGTAACAACATTACAATGTAAACAGCATAAAGGAGTGGATACGGCTATGTTCCAAAAAATCTTTATTTATGGATACTGAAGGCTCAATTTCATATAATTTTTCATGAAATATTCTTTTTATTTTTTCCAGCCATTTAAAAATGTAAAAACCATTCTTAGCTTGGGGCCAGACGTGAGTTGGAGGCCTGTCACTTGAGACCCCTGTGCCAAACAGTTTATCATGAAAATCACTGAAACACTTCAAGAAACCCAGAAAAAGGTAGAAGATAGCAGGTTGGGAATGGTTAATCTTCCATTTCTTTGGGAGTGGAGGTCAGAGGGGCTCTGTCTTGGTGCGGTAGCATGACAAACCCCATCTGCAAATGCGTCCAAGTGGGGGTTGGATGTCACCCATCAGACTGAGGAGGAGTCAGCCAGCCCCATGATGCTCACACCTGGTCAGCACTGCTGCCTGCACCAGCTACACAGGTGTGATTCGGAAGCTTCCAGGTGAGGAAAAGAGCTTAAAATCCTTAGCAGCCCATGACTAGCCTAGACTTGCTCTCAGATCTCCTGACTTGTGGGCCAAGCGTCTGCTGCTCAGATCACACTGTCCCCAGATTGTTAGTTGTTGAGGGCTCGGTTGTCATGTTGAGAGCTGGGGAAACTCCTGTCTCTACAGAAGGGTCCAGCCGGGAAGCAGGCTCTGATACTGCTTCTGCCACCTGCTTTGTCTAGGATTGCACATTTAAGTCTTAAGCTTGCTTTCCTCATTTTGCCTATCTGCAAAGTGGGAATGAGGATACCCAAGCCCTTTGAAAT